TTCATGACCTGGTCGGCATTTCTCTTCCGTATCAAAAGCAACACTTTTCAATTTGACATCAAAGTATAGGACTCTGTAATAATGTGAAAATTTTTGGAATTAAATGCAGCAATTAAAGGTTTTTGCACCTTTCCATGTATGACTCAAGTTCTAGTATATTTAAATTTATTTGTGCATTCATATTTGGTGGTATAAAAATTTATTTATGAAACGAACAAATATTTATTTTTGCCAAAAGTGAATAATTTATACACATAGTGTATAAGTATATAATTATGCACATATAAAACTGCTGATAATTATATCTAGTTTTAATGAAACATGTTTATGTCAAATTAAATGGCATTGATTATACCATACACCACTATTTTTGGGGAGCATATTAAGCGTCTGAGCTCGGAATTATTTGGCTTAAACATATTACTAGATGCAACATAAACGTATAATTGTAAAAAACATATTTTAAATACATTCATCATTACTGGAGTATTTCATGTTCGGCTTAGCCTTTTGACCATATTACCTTAGTGAGAAGGGTATTAAATATAAGTTTGTCAATGAGTACATAATTTAAAAATTAAATATAAGCGTAAAAAATACCCATGTCTCTCAGTTTTGCCCAAAGTCATGCATTTTTTATGGCACCCAAATAATCGGGGCCTCGGTGTAATTTTTTCAAAAAATTATAATTTTCTCAGTCTCAAATCTTACAAACCGTTTTGAATTTTGCTTTACTCTCAAGATCAAAAAACTTAAAAAAAACAAGTAAGAATTCTATATTCAGCTGTGTCGAATCTTATATACCCCTTACCATGATGTGTTAAAAAACAGTCAGTACGAATTTTATTACAAAAAATCAAAAAATACCAATTGCAAAACGGTAAGGTACCAAAAAGGACCCTTTTATGGGTTCTCACTTAATCCAGACTCTACATATTTAATTTCATGTTTCTAGGTTCAATATTATAGAAATTTCAAAAAGTACATTTTAAAGAACGAAAAAGTACCAAAAAGTCCTCTTTTATGGGTTCCCACTTAATCCAGGCTCTACATAATTATTTTCATGTTTCTAGGTTCAATATTATAGAAATTTCAAAATGTACCTTTTGAAGAACGAAAAAGTACCAAAAAGTCCTCTTTTATGGATTCTCACTTAATCCAGACTCTACATCAGCGTTGCCACTCACAATTTATTTTTCTTACCAAAGTTCCGACAAAAAACTACCAAAACGTTACAAAAACTACCAATTTTTTCCTTAGGTACAATTGCTTCTGTTTAGAGTTCCATTATTTTTAAAACTAATATGTAATATCATACAATGATTTGTTCTAAATAATCAATGGTTCACTTTTACGTAATAAGACAAAATTTCCAAATACTATATAGTTATGAAATACATAATTGCTGTTTTCGACAAAATTTGTACCAAAATCATTCCCGAGAAAATTGTAATAGTATTATATTCGGCTATGATGAATCATATATGTATATCCACCATCAGCATCTATCGTATAAATTGAGGACTTTATGGATAAATCCTTTTATTATACTACGGTTAACTAATTTGCTATTTATTGATAATAAAATTATTTTCCGTAAAAGGGGATATATGGCTGTAATAGGATCAATCGTGGACCAATCGACATAGATTTCGGTTGTTAAAAAACTGTTTCAACAGACAGACGGGAGGACATGGCTATATCGTCTTAGAATCTAATAAGAACCTAGAAAAAATATATACTTACAAGCGGAATCCGAAAACAAAATAACCCTAATATTTTTATACCCATCAAAAAAGGATTGGGGTATATTAATTTTGTGATTCCGTTTGTAAGGTAGTAGACCCACCAAATTATATATTTATTCATGAATCTTCTTAGAAAAAAAATGAATTAGTGTGGCCTCCAGTAGGTTAGTGGTTTATGTTATAGTCAGACCTGACGTCGTACATTCGATTTCCACCTGAGGCATTGGTTAGGAAGTGCACAACGGGACCGATGCAGGCCTACAAGTATTCCTTCGGATTTTATATAACATCCTCATTTCAAACTAACTAACTTAATAACATTCACAAATCAGAAATGTTGAAATACATAGAAACTTAATATTTTCATAGAACAAACAATATAAACTTAACAAGGATAAACCTAAGATTGACGTATTTATTAAAATTCTTATTACTTTGCCATAACAAGGTCAAAATGTTTATAAATTCATATGCATGAGATCAAAATTATCTCATCCTACCAAATTTGGACCAAAATTTAAACCTACCAACCAAACTACCAAAAGTCATTTCAGAGATTTGAAACTACCAATTTTGGTCCAATTGTGTCCAAAGTGGCAACGCTGCTCTACATACTTAATTTCATGTTTCTAGGTTCAATATTATAGAAATTTCAAAAAGTACCTTTTGTATAACGAAAAGGTACCAAAAAGTCCCCTTTTGTGTGTTCTGACCTAATCCGGGCTCTGCATACTTAATTTCATATTTCTAGGTTCAATATTATAGAAAATTCAAAAAGTACCTTTTGTAGAACGAAAAAGTACCAAAAAGTCCCCTTTAATGTGTTCTCGCATAATCCAGGCTCTACATACTTAATTTCATGTTTCTAGCCAATAACAACGTAACGTTTGTTATCTTTTCCTTGTGTCTAAAAACAAGAAATCACAATAACAAAAAAGTTTACCGTTTGATACTGTGTTTTGTTTTTGTTTGTTTATTGTTTTGTATAAACATGCACGAAAAATGTAAATTTTTCATGAAATTTTCAGAGGTGGTCTCGGATTTTTACTCATATCTTCGTTATTCATGGACCGATTGGGCTCATTTTAAATAGCGTTCTATTCGATCGTATTTCCGATAGAATTATTGAAAATTCGGATCTCGCAGATATCTGGGGTCTTCTGAAAACTGAGTTCAACATACACACAGACAGACAGACAGACGGACATGGCTAAATCGACTCCGCTATCTATAAGGATCCAGAATATATATACTTTATAGGTTCGGAAAATTATATTATAGAAATTACAAACGGAATGACAAACTTATATATACCCTTCTCACGAAGGTGAAGGGGATAATAATTCAAGTGCTTCTCTAAATTAGGTGTATACATAATATTTAAATATCACTGAATCAATAACACGTATACGTACTGGTGTCGTTAATCAAAACAGTACAATTTCACAAGGTAAAACTTTCCTCTTTTCTAAATGAAAAAATTAAATTGAAATTTTTTGATTTATTTCTTCACAATATTTGTTCTTTATTACAAGATTTACAAATTTGCCTCAAAGAGTAAATCAAAATTCCGAACGATTTTTAAGATATGAGTCTGAGAAAATTATCAATTTTGTGCAAAATTTACACCGTGGACCCAAACTTTTCTAAAGAGCCCAGATATCTGCGGGATCCAAATATTCAATAATTTTATCAGGCTTGCTATAGGGATAAAATACTATATTCTAAGATTATTATTTTAAATTTTTAAAATAAATTTTTTATATGTCAATTTATATAGTCGAGGGCATAGTCACCTTTTTTGTTTTTGTTTTAGTTTTGTATAAACATAATTAATTTTCATGTAAACATCAACAGTTTTTGGAAAAGCGGTTTCATTGAACAAATAATTATCTGCATTTTGCAAATATGATGTTTATTATTATGACATTAATTTATACATTTCGAATATTAAAAGAAGAGTTAGTTGGAAAACAATATGCATATTCTTACACTTAATTGCACATTGTAATGATGAAATATTTGTTCATATTAAATGTAAGTACACTTTAATAATATTTTCATTATAAAAATACTTTAATTTACGAAGTTTTTTTTTAAATAAAATTAACTCGTTTATAGGAATTAATCAATATGCATTTCTTAAAATTTCCCTTTACTTATTTCTTATATTTATATTTATAATATATGTAAATCGAAAGTCACCTCTAAGTTGTCAAGTCAAATATAATTTAGACTTTTTAATGAAAACCAGTTTGTTGCTTGACATGAATGTAAATAAGATTTGTTTTAGGAATTGTGTTATCACCATCACCACAAAAACAACAGAAATTATTTAGCTTCATGTCCTTGTGTTTAAATTAAATTCCTTAAGGATTTATATTGTTTCAACATGTTGTTGTTATCATTTCTCTTCAAAATAAATTAAATTTTTTTTTTCTAAATAATATAAAAAAATTAAATAAGGTCAAACAAACGTGTCCAAATAATTCTTACTCGTTATAAACAAAATTCTCTAAAATATTAACCACAAATGTTTAACAATCAACAACAACAATCGGTAGAAGGAAACAAATAAATAAATGAATGAATATTTGTTTATAAAGTCCTTTATTAAAATCATTTTTAAGGTCCTTTTCCTATTATTACATTTAATTTTCATCTATTCAGGTAAAAGTTTAAACCATTTTTCGTTTCATTGAGCATTTTTATGGACACAAGAAATTCGAAAACATACATACATACATACATACATACATACATACATACATACATACATACATACATACATACATACATACATACATACATACATACATACATACATACATACATACATACATACATACATACATACATACATACATACATACATACATACATACATACATACATACATACATACATACATACATACATACATACATACATACATACATACATACATACATACATACATACATACATACATACATACATACATACATACATACATACATACATACATACATACATACATACATACATACATACATACATACATACATACATACATACATACATACATACATACATACATACATACATACATACATACATACATACATACATACATACATACATACATACATACATACATACATACATACATACATACATACATACATACATACATACATACATACATACACACATACATACATACGAATGTATATGAATTAATACTTATATCTTTTCTTCCGTTTCTTTCAGTGCATCAAGTTACCAAATTTATTCAACAACAACAAATTTGTATTAAACTGGTAAGTATTTTATGTAAATTTTTAGTTTTGCTTTAATTCCCACGAAAATAGAAAAGTATATTTTTGCAGTTTGTGTTCAAATCAATGTTTTAAAGTTCCCAAATATATCCGGTATATAAATCTTGAATGAATCTACCAGAAATGCTTTCAAAAGTTTTCTTTATGAAATCGGTCCACAAATAACGAAGATATCATGAAAATATTGTCAAAAATTGTAATTTTTATCATTGCAATCAACACAATGAAAATACAACAACATACACAACATCATTGTTATGTCCCTAAGTTGTAGCAAATAATACACCTTCTTTATCTTTAACACCCGTTAACACCAATTCCGGTTATCGTTTAACCGGTAGATATTCTGCCGGTTAAAATAATTTTTGTATTAAAACTGTCAATTTAACCTTACGATAAAATGTAACCAGACATTGAGATAATGGGGGTAAGTGACTTAGAAAAGGACTGTCTTTACTCACTGCACAAAGAGTACATTCGTGACGAAAGGCGAATTAGAGCCAACCATTATTCACCATTTCCCGTTAAAGAAGTGTCACAAGAATAGACTATATACCTATGTACTAGACTATATACTAAACTATGGACTATAGACTAATCTATAGTTAGAGCATATACAAGACTGTAGACTAGACTATAGAATATACTACATATTAGACTATAGACTAGATTATTAACTAGACTATAAACCAGAGTGTCCCAAGGAACAGCCTTTTTAAGAATTTCATGTTGGAATACCACTCAATCGGCGTCATGAAATAACTCCCCACGAAATAACTCCCCAAATTTGTGGACTTATTTCATTATGAAATAATTCCCAAATTTAAAAATGAAAAAATGACCCAACGAAATGAAATAACTCTCCCTAAATTCAAATTCAAATGAAAAACGAAAACTTAATTTTAAAATGAAATAAGTTCCCATTTAAAAATTCGGCTCTAGATATAGAAAATAACAAATTATGGAACAAGTCGGTTTTAGTGATATTTTTAAAAAAAGTAGGTCGCTCATACTTTCAAAGTTTTATACATTTCAGTTTAATCGCTTAATAAAGATTTCCTTAATAGCTGGCATGCGGCCGTGCGCAAGAACATTCTACACTATGGTATGTCCAACTACGGCTTCGCTTAGTAAATATTTTTTAAAGAGCCGGCCTAAGGCCGTACGCTTTTGATACAGGGAGAGTGTATTCTTAGCGAAGCCGGTGTCCAATATACCCCAGATGATAAAACTTTTGCGACCGGCTAAAGGCCGGCAATCAAACATATATTTTTTTATTTAAATGTAATGTAATAAATTAACTCACCAAAAATATTTTTAGGGATTTTTTGTATTTTTGAATTTGGAGGAATTATTTCCCCATTTTAAATGTGAAATAATGCCCCAAAAAGCGAATTAAATCCCCAAATTTCGTTGTTTTTGCTTTCTGAATAAATTTTTAGGGTGTTATTTAATTTTTTTTTGAGTTATTTCGTCGGAATTTATTTAATGACGCCCACTCAATCGATGCGTATTATTGTACTGAACTCGAGAAAAATAAAAAATATTTTTTTTGGAATGGTCTTCAGTTCCTACCAGCGATTGAAAACCCTGGCCTCAATATAATTTTGGAAAAATAAAATATTTTCTTTTCTTTCGAAATGGGTCACAAATATTCCGTAATTTTGAGCTAATTTCGAAAACATTTTTTAGAATATTTTTGGTCCACAAAATGATTTTTAGTGGATTGGAGGAGCACATTTCGCATTTTATCGAAATGGGTGTCCAAATTGTCGTAATATTTAGCTCATACAGAAAAATATTTAAAAATTAGTTTGGCATTTGGTTTATTCCATTTCAGAAATTGTCACCTTTAGAACTGGTTCTGTAATTTTTAATGATTCCTTTTTTCGATTTTGGAATATTTTATAAAAAAAAAATTAACAAATTCATGGCGACTTTTTTTATGAATAATATTTCATGAGTTCTAGTTTTTGAAATATATTTTTCATCGAAAAAGACTCAAAGCTGCATAAATATTTATTCATTATTTTTAAGATGAATACTAAAAGTACAATTTACTTAGAATAACACCACAATTGTTTGCATTGATAGAAAAAAGTTTTCATTTTATATAAAAAAAAACAGTTCTTTTGGAGAAAATAAACATTTTAAGTAATGAAATAAAATAAAGCAAATGATAATAAATTTTTACAAACAGCAAATAAAAATATTGACTAAATGTGGGTACGAAAGCTTTTAAAATTTAATTTGTTTAAATTGAACTGTTTTCTTTTGAATATTTTGAATTTTGCTATTTCATGTTGAGGGTTGTTTTTTCCCTTTCTTTTGAAAATCTAAAAAAAAGTGTAGGTTAGTTTTTTTCAAGTTAATATTTTGGTTTTTGCTTTTGTAAAAAGCATCTAATTATTTCTTAATAAACGTAAAATTACTTGTGTTTCTTTTTTTTTCGTAAATTCCCTGTGGTTAGTACTTTTGGAATTAAGGAAAAAAAATAAAAATCATATACACTAGGGTGACCCCAGAATGGATGTTACTGATGTTTCGCTCGGAAATGAAATTTTTGTTTATTTTAAGATAATATTTCTTAAAATGCTTGTACTGACGTCAGTATTTGCTAATAAAAGGGATTTTTTTTTTCCTTTTGAGTCAGCTCTTCAAATATTGACTCTAATTCAACTTTTAGGGCACACCCTATAGACAGAAATTGATAAGTGTAAAAACGAACAGTAATAAGTAAAACTACTTAAATTTGTTTTAATGAAACAAAAATCCTGAAAAATAAAAAAGCAAATAAAAAAGGTCATACCACATATAAAATGGATTAAAACGATATACATACATACATACTTATTGTCGAAATACAACACACATTTAACCAAAAATAAAATTTATCTTGCTTTCTAAATTTCGGTATTAATGAATTTTAAAATTCTATCTAGTTAAAAATGTTCAATATATATACATACATATGTACGTATCAACGATTTTGGTTTCTGAATCATAGCATTGTGTTAAATGGTATCTAATTTACACGATCCTTTAGGGTATGATTTAAAACGAATTTCTACTAAAGCTTATTACTGTTATAGAACAATTTTAAATCTTTAAAAGTTAATAAAAACAAATTTTATCATTTATATCCTGACGTATCCTTGACATTACAGTCGTTTACGTAATTTGTAAAGATCCTTTTTAATTTTTTTTGTAATTTGACAGCAAGTGTTTAAAATTTAGTTTTCAATTTTGTTGAGATTGACAAAGGTTAAATATGCAGTAAACAAAGAATCTTTTACATGTACATACATATGTATGTATGTATGTATGTTTTTAATAAACCAATTTATCTATATATATAAAAGAGTAGCGTTACTGACTTATTCATCATCAAACAGCCCAAACGGCTGAACCTAGAATCATGAAATTTTGACAGGTTTTGTGTTCTTGGTTATGTTTTTGGAAATTTGTACATTTAGGGGTAAAAACGGATAAAACTGGTTTTCTTAATTATCTTACCTAATATTAGTGATACAAGAAAAATTTTAAATGCACCTGTATCTACTCTTAAAATAGGCAAATGGGTGTCTGGTACTTTTTTGAAATTCATACTTTTAAGGTGATTTGGGTACCTTTTTTGGCCCTTTATAACCTTTTAACTAATAAACAAAATAACATTTTTGTAAATATTTTGAATATATCTCCCAAAGTTATTAGACTCCTGTTTCGTACTTTTTTAAAATTCAGTCCTTTTTGGGTGTTAAAGGGTATGTTTGGTACTTTTTTTTAGCACATTAAGAAAACTTTTTCGTTTTATTGAATTATTCCTATAAAATTACGGATTAACTCTGTAATATTTGTTGAAACAACATTTTTGCTATTTCACTGGGGAAAAAAGTGCCAAAGTGAAAGCACAATTTTGAACATTTTGTAAACTTAATTCTCAAAAAAGTATATTTCTAAGCGAAAAGGGGAAAAATTGTACTATTTTTATCAGTACCTACTTTACACTAAGGTAGAATTTATTCCACTTTTGGAACTTTTCCATTCTTCAAATGGTACCTTTTGGATTCTCTATAATGGTTAGCCGGAACACATGACACAGGGTCCTTATTAAATGAGACTTTATACTCATTTTTTACTTTTTTAAAATTTTTACGATATTGAACATAGAAATATTAAATTTAAATGTAGGGACCTTAGTGAATGAGAATCTACTGAAAGGGACTTTTGGTACTTTTTTATTCAGTAAATTATATTTTTTGAGTTGTCTATAATATTGAACACAGAAACATAACATTTTTGATTAAATGAGAATCTATAAGATTCTCTGGGTAGCGAAGCACCCAGGGTATGCTAGTATTTTATATACTTGCTGAAGGACGTTTTGTTGGCCGAATATTCGGAATGTCATTATCAAGTACATATTAGAGCCCTGCATGAGTAACTCTATTTGCTACACACAATGAGTGACTCATTGCTTTGCACTCAACTCATTGTTTGTTTAGAATAGTATTTACAAAGTTTTGTTATACTCAAACGTTGTGAGTACTATCAAGTGAATGTGCAACTACATTCAAATCGAGCGAGTAAACAATTTGTTTATGTTAAAACAATACAAAATAGATTGTTTGAATCGAATGAATCGATTCAAACTTTTTCTTGAATAAATGGTGAAAATTTTGAATGCTGTTAAAACTAGTTCCTGTGGCCCGAATTCGCTGAAATTTGGTAGTCTTGAGTACAATTGATGACAAGATAATATTATGTTCGAATATTCGAAATTAAGTTCGAAAATTCGAAGTTATGTTCGAAAATTTTTTTTATGCTTTTAAATTATTCTTTGAGTCCAAAAAACTAAAAAAAAAATTTTCGAAAATTCGAACTCATGTTCGAAAAAAATTTAAAGCTGATAAAACCAGTTTCCGTGGACCAAATTGGCTGAAATTTGGCAGTGTTAAGTACAGTTGATGACGCTACTATAT